CCTAGTCCCAGTTAGATTGTACTGGAGGGTGGTTCAAAGCCAGAGGCTTGTTGCCAAGCATATAAATATAGTAAAGGGAGAAATTTAATACAAAGGCTTAAGGTAGAGAAGCAAAGCCTCCAGGAGCTAGGTGTTTTGGGGGGGTTTTGTGCTGTCTTCCTCCCAACCTACTCCTTTTCATTTGCATAGGAGACCAAAGGATTTTGAAGGTATTGAAAAAACTGGAGACCTGGGACCCAATTTTCCCTTGGAGGTTTGTTGGAAGGGTAGCACCTAAAAATGGTTTGAAATGGATACCTATCAGTAATTAGGAAATGATAAAAGTTACAAGGCCTTTCTTACCCTAAATCAGGTAGCTACTTGGGAAAATGGACTAAGAATTAGCCCCAGACATCATGAGGTTCAATACTAAATTAAATGCCTACTGGCTACACTTAGCTGGTTAGCTGGTCATTCTTTGTTCTAAAAAAAAAACACACACACAACATGCCCACCCAGGACAAATATACAAATAGGGACACAGTTATTTGTACATTTGTTTATTGCCTAATAAGCAAATAGGTACACTTATCGTTATTGGCATCATTTCCTGAAAATCGATCTTTTTTTGACCTTTCTGCAGCACAAAGGGGTTGACATCCTCCCAATTCTCCCACTTGTCTTGGTTACTCCTTCTTGGTCTCCTTCCATCCTTCTTCATCTTCAGGTCATCAGCCTAAGTGTGAGTATTCTGCAAAATTCTCTCCTTGGCCCTCTCATTTCTACACTCTCTCCCCTCTCAATTTCACTCCCATAATTTATCACTCTGAGGAAAATGACTCCTAAATCTATATATACTGCTCTTAAGTTCCAGTCTTGGATTCCATAGATTTATAAATTATTAGGTCTGATTGGACTCTTAGAGATTGTCTAGTCATAGATTCATAGGGTCATACGATTAGTAGGCAATCTAATCCAACATCCCCATTTCACAGAAGATGAAAGTGAGGCCCAAAGAACTTTAGTGATTTGTCTAATGTTACACAGATGCTAAATGGAGGAAAGTCTGATTGTCCCATGGGCACCTCAAATTTAACATGTGCAAAACTGAATTCAGACTCCATCAGTTCTTTCCCGGGAGGTGAATAGTATCTTTCAGCATAAGTCCTTTGGAACTGTCTTGGATCATTGTATTGCTGAGAATAGCTAATCATCACATAATATAGCTGTTACTATGTATAATGTTCTCCTCATTCTGCTTGTTTCACTTTTCATCAATTCATATAAGTCTTTCCAGGATTTTCTGAAACCCTACTGCTCATCATTCCTTATAACACAACAGCATTCCTTGACAATCATATACCACAACTTATTTGGCCATTCCTCAATTGATGAACATCCCATCAATTTCCAATTCTTTGCCACCACAAAAAGTGCTTCTACAAAGAACTGGTTTTGTACATATAGGTCCTTTTCCTTTTTTTTTTTTAATCTCTTTGGGCTACAGACCCAGTAGTTCTATTGCTGGGTCAAAGGGTATGCATGGTTTTATAGCCCTTTGTGCTTAGTTCCAAATTGCTGTCCAAAATAGTTGAATCAGTTTACAACTCCGCCAATAGTGCTTTAGTATCTCAATTTTCCCATGTCTCCTCCAACATTTGTTGTTTTCCCTTTCTGTTATATTAACCAATCTGATAGATGTGAGGTGGTACTTCAGAGTTGTTTTAATTTGCATTTCTCTGATCAACAATGATTTCGACTTTTTTTTCACATGACTATAGGTAGCTTTGATTTCTTCATCTGAAAATTAGTTGTTCATATCCTTTGACCATTTATCAACTGGGGAATGACTTGCATTCTTAGAAATGACTTAGTTCTCTGAGAAATGAGGCCTCATTTCTCAGAGAAACTTCAGATAAAAAATTTTCTAGTTATGATTACTATGTATTTCCTTCCATCCTATTTTCCCTGTTTTTCCTTCCTTCTCCTTTTACCCAGTCCCTCCTCAAAAATGTTTTGCTTCCCACCACCACCTCCCCCGATCTGCCCTCCCTTCTATCAGTCCCCAGCCCCTTCTCTTATCTGCTTTCCCTCCTACCTCCTGGGTGAGGAAAGCAGGGTAAGATAGATTTCTCTACCAAATTGAGTGTGTATGTTATTCCCTCTTTGAGTTGATTCCAATGAAAGTTGTTGTTTGTTTGTCCTCCATTCTCAATTCCAATGAAAGTTGTTGTTGTTGTTGTTTGTCCCTCATTCTCGAAGAACACCATGACATCAGGGAGGTGATGCCACAACTTACAAGTGAATTGGATTTTAAGTGAAGAAGGGCAGTGCATAGTCACCAGACTCACTCTCTCTTCCTGAGCCATCTGGATGCAGTGGCTAGATGTCATCAGGATGGCTGGAGATGGCCCCGATGCAGTGGGAGATCTCAGCCTTTTTAAGCTAAAGTCTTTCCCACATCTCAGTCTGACCCAGGCAATGCCCATTCAGTGAGTAAGGCTAGGTAAGAAATGAGGCAAAGAGTGACCTCTTTTACCTAGTCAAAAAAAAAATCAATCTGGGAGAGGAAGACTCTCAGGGTTTCTGGACAAAACAGAATTGCTATTTACACTCACTCTGAACCATCAGAGCCCAAACAATGACCAAATGAGGCTTGGGCTGGGACCTACTGTTGGCCAATCAATAAGAGCCAGAGTGCTTTGGGTTTAAAGCTTGATCCTTAAAAAAGAAATCTAGCCCATAAACCCCAAGATATCTTTTGAGGTTTCAGTGATCAAAATTTACATTCCTTTGGCCAGACCATCCACAAGTAAGGGTATGATTTCCTACATGGATGGTGGGGAGAGAAGGAGAAAAAGAGGGAAAGGGGAAAGGAGGAAACTAAGGAAACAAGTAAAGGAAGAAGGAAGAAAGGAGGGAAGGAAGGAAGAAAGGAGGGAAGGAGTAAAGGAAGGAAGGAAGCAAGGGAGGGAGGAACAGAGGGAGGGAAGGAGGGAGGAGCAAGCTGTGTTGCCCAACAGGAACCGGCCAGTTGGGTCCCCAGTTGGGCACTTACTAATACAGATTGTTGACTGTGGTTTGTCCTTCATTCTTGAAGAGGATCATTGTCCACCACACCCCACCCCCATCTTCCCCTCCACTGTAAAAGCTCTTTCTGGCCTGTTTTATATGAGATAATTTACCCCATTCTACTTCTTCCTTCCCCCTTCTCCCAATGCATACCTCTTTCTCACCCTTTATTTTTTTAGATATCATCCCATCATAGTCAACTCACAACTGTACCCCCTGTCTGTGTATACCATTTCTAACAACCCAAATAATATTGTAAATCAATCTTTACCTCCCAGGCCACACTCAGGTGCCACCTCCCCCAAGAAGCTGTTCCCATTCTCCCAAACAGAATGTGACCTTTAAGTCTTACTTTGCGTGGACCTCTCCTTTGCACTTGTCACATTCTATGCTGTCACACTGATTTATGACCATCTCTTATATCCCCCTTCCTTCAATAGCCCTAGTCCCAGTTAGATTGTATTGGAGGGTGGTTCAAAGCCAGAGGCTTGTTGCCAAGCATATAAATATAGTAAAGGGAGAAATTTAATACAAAGGCTTAAGGTAGAGAAGCAAAGCCTCCAGGAGTTTTGGGGGGGTTTTATGCTGTCTTCCTCCCAACCTGCTCCTTTTCATTGGCATAGGAGACCAAAGGATTTTGAAGGTATTGAAAAAACTGGAGACCTGGGACCCAATTTTCCCTTGGAGGTTTGTTGGAAGGGTAGCACCTAAAAATGGTTTGAAATGGATACCTATCAGTAATTAGGAAATGATAAAAGTTACAAGGACTTTCTTACCCTAAATCAGGTAGCTACTTGGGAAAATGGACTGAGAATCAACCCCAGACATCATGATGTTCAATACTAAATTTAATGCCTACAGGCTACACTTAGCTGGTTAGCTGGTCATTCTTTGTTCCAAAAGAACTTGGCTACTGGAGGTAAAGACTCTCCTTCTAGACATGAAAAGCCTCCCACAAGCAACTCCAGGAAAGGACAGATTTCTCTCTTAATGAATAAAAGAATCAGCAAAAGGTTTCATTTAGTCTGATTCCAGGTTCAGGTATGTGAAGGCCTTGCCTCTAAGAGACAAAGCTAAAGCCTCCGGGCTTTAAGCTAAAAGAGAGATGACTGATAGTACTCTTCCCATTTAGGGAATTCTTCAGGTGAGAAATTCAGCTAAAGCAAAAAAGACAGAAGTCGAGATAATACACTTCAATTTCTGTACATCTCTTAGATACTACATACTTAGTGGAATCATGCCAACCTAGCACATGTGAGATCAGAAAGGAGCAATACCGAGCAGAAACTATACACTTATTAGAGACTACAGACCAGTGGGAAGCAAGACCAATTGGAACAAGTATGATGACCCCATGAGGCAGCAGGGAAACAGCAGGGATCCCAGTTACATAAATTCCCTACTCACAGGTAGGGAGTACCCCCATGTACTACAATTATAAGTTATTAGAGGAGAGCACGCTGGGTCATGTATATACCTCAAACTCATATAACATAGGGAATGGGGCATGTAATGGGCATTCAATAAGCATTTGTTGAACTGATTCAATTTTCAGGGTAAATGGGACCTCAGTAATCTGCAAAAGTTAATACTCCATTAAAATGCTCAGGTAGGTGGCTCAGTGGATAGAAAGCTGGGCTTAGAGTCAGGAAGACCTGAGCTCAAATATGACCTCAGTCACTTACTAGCTGTGTGACCCTGGGCAAGTCACTTAATCCTGTTTGCCTCAGTCTCCTCAACTATAAAATGAGCTGCAGAAGGAAATGGCAAACCACTCCAGTATCTTTGCCAAGAAATGGGGTCACAAAGAGTTGGACACAACTGAAACGACTGTCCACAAAAATAAAAGTGCTCAAAATTCCCAGGAAGTAGTTTGTGTGCTGGGAAAATGTAGTGGAATTTTATTTGTTGTATAAAATTATAAAGATACAAATATTTTCATTGCTTCACATTTATTAGCTTCATTTACTATGAAATGCAAATTCTTATAGTAAACAATTCTAAAGATAATGTGCCAGTTTCTGTAAACACTTCTGTTGGAAAGTCCTTCCAGGATAAGACCAACAGGGTTGACCAAGCAGTAGGTACCTGATGATGACTAGGCCTTGGATAGACAATTAAGTTGTTTCATACTTCCTGGTGATAAGCCCCTCCTAAGTACTGTTTATACTAGGACATTACTATTACTTCCTCATAACTTTCAAAGTGAAACAAAGCATGGTTAATTCCTCTCCCTGGGAACTCCTGAAAACCCTGAAATACAAACTATTCAAACACATCCCAGAAATGGATAACTGAATATAATCACTGCATTAGGAAATGTCTTATTCTACAGGCTCTTGGAGGTGTCCTTCCATCTAATTCATCAAATATTTTCTTTTCTTCACTTCTGTTGGGGTGAAATGAAGTGTAATAAACAATAAGAAAAAGAATTCCAAGTAGAAGAGCCCCAACTATGATGAGGGTGACAGCTCTGAAGAAGTCTTGATGTTCATCAGGTGGCGTGCAGAACCAAAACACAGCCAAGATCCCCAATGTGACCAGCAGCCTCATGATATAATAAGCAGACATAGGGAATTTTGTATTTTCTCCTTTAACGTTAAAAAAAGTAAAAATCAGAATGAATCCAACAACTACTCTATATAAAATTTCCATACCTTTGGAGGTACAAAATGTAGTTTGCTGTTTACAAGCCCATGTTATGCCTGACAACCAAAAGATAAATAGCAGAATTAAGCCCAAATTAACATTTAGCACAGTTAAAAGAGAGACACTGAGTACCCAAGATACAAATGTTAATAGCTTATAGAGGAGGTACATTAATCTGGGGCGTGCTCCACTGAGGAGTTTTTTATCAGGTAAAGATTTTCTTAGGGTGATGTGATAATCAACGGTTGACCAGGAAATAGAACAGCAAGAGATCACAATAGCAGCAACTAAAAGATAAAAACAAAACAAAATAAATTCTCACCATGGAAATGTCATAATGTTCATTCATTCAACTAATATCATATTGAGTCCCTCCTATGTGCAAGACACTATGCTAGGCACTGCAAAGGATACAAGAATAAATATGGCAGACAGTTCCTGTTCCTTGTGGCAGTTAGAAGAGCATTGGGCCTGGAGTCAGAAAGATCTGAGCTCAAAACTGGCCTCAGTCACTTACTACCTGTACAACCCTGGACAAGACACGTCTGCCTCAGTTTCTTCAACTGTAAAATGGAAAGAATAATAATATCATCTACCTCCCATGGTAGTTGTGAGGATCAAATGAGATAATATTTGTAAAGAACTTAGCACAGTGCATGGCATAGTAAACACTTAATAAAATGCATGTTCCTTCCCTTGTAAACTACATGGAGATACCTGAATTATATGGCTTTTTCTTGAAGCATTTAGTATTACTAAGTTGTTCCCATTTCATTACAAAAAAAATTTTTGGCAGCATAATACTTGTAATTACTTATCCAGATTCCAGTAATTTCCATTGGATATGATTTTCCTGAATACACAGTCATACAAATGAAGGCTTTTTTTGAGTGTCATGGACCCCCTCTGGCAGTAAGTCAAACCTACAGACTCCCTTCTCAGAGTCATGTTTTAATCCCATAAAACAAAATACATAGGATTATTAAGGAAACTAATTATATCAAAATACAGTTATCAAAATATTTTTAAAACAAGGTGATGGACCTCAGGTTAAGAACCACTGATTTAGAATTACTATCTTTAATTTCAGTATCACCTTTGATCGTTTCCTCCCCCCACACTTCAAATCAGTTGCTAGACCCTGGGTTCTTCCTCAGTGCTCTCTCACACACATTCATCTCCTCATTTAGACCCTTATTTTCTCACCTAGACTATTAAAAAGTATCCTTTGACACCCGATAGATCCATAATTTCATCAGTGGGGGGATTCCCACCCCTCTGTTAATCCATGTTGAAATCGCTCCATTCTTTCTCATTGTATACAATTCTTATTCATGTCTTTCCATCCAACTGTGCCGAGGCACTGCTTTGGTTCTTTTAATAATATGGGTGTGTATCAATGTACTACTTATGCTATTCATCTGCTCTGTCTAAATCTCACTACATGAACTGAACAGCCCACTTCCTCTAATGATTATATATATTTTATATATATATATATATATATATATATCCTTTGTTTTTCCTCACTTGTGAAATGAGACTGTTGTATTGGCCAACCTCTACAAGGCTCTACATCTATAATTAATAATTTTTCATGTCACTCATATTCAAGTCATCATTAGGAAGATACTGCAACCTATTTAATACAACCATGTAGCTTCCCACTGTCCTTCAGTTACATGTAATTTTGATTCCTTTAAGATCTGGGTGGTTCCAGGACTCACAGCCATGTGGCACCACTGGAAGAATACTAGTATGAACTTTTGCAAGACCAAGGAATTTGGAATCACTGGAAGCATGGTATAATTCACAAATGTAATGTCCCTTCCCATTCATCTGCGTGTCTTCTCGAGGGCAGTATTAGTTCTTAAGCTGCTTTCTTTTTCCACTGCAGGTGGTTAGACTAATCTAATGTGGTTTTCACTAAGAGGTTTTGTAATATTCCAGTACATTGTTATCTCTCCATCACAAGAAATGGAAACTCTTGCTGCCTAAACAAAATTCTTCTTTTATTTGGGGAGAATTTCCCATGACAATGGCAAACACTTTTGGTGAGCAATATGCCTCTCCCCTCATTTCACCTCTTCAGTACTCAGCAGATTCCTGAACAGAGTTAATTTCATAGTCCAAACAATAATAACAAGAATAACAACAACAACTCACATTTATCCATACAGCATTTTTAGGTTCACAAAGTGCTTTCCTCTCACCAGTCCTGTGAGATGGGAAGTACAAGCATTAGGATGTCCATTTTATATACAAGGCAAAATCTTATGGGACAAAGAAGGATGAAAGGGGGAACAAAAGGGCTAGAGAAAGCTTGGTATGAAGATAAATTATACCAGATCATCCTCAAAGCATCTATAGATGAAACCGGGAGAAAAACAATGGGCAAACACAAAGGAAAAAAGGAACAGATCCATCAGCATTTTTATAAGAGAATTTACTGTGAGATTCTTAAAGAAGAGGTTTGTTTTTGCCTTTCTTTGTATCCCCAGTTCTTAGCCCAATGCCTACAAGTTGTAAGTGCTAAATAAACACTTGCTGCCAACTTAAATAGGAAGAAGGCAGCACACCATTAGTTCCATGTGACTAAAATTGATGGAACTCTTCATTATCCACAAAATCAAAATTACAAGTGACTCAAAGGGAAAGGAAAGATATGGAATAGATATAAGAAGACCATAGATGGTGCCTTGAACACAAGTGACATTGAAGAAGACACTCAGAAAACATACGATGGAAAAGTAGATGGGCTGAGCACATGCACATAGCAAAAAAAAAAAAAATTACATGCACCCATCGGAGCATTATTGCCCTGGTACTTATAAAAGGCCTCCAGACATCAGAGAGATCACAATACCATAGGTAAGGCCTTCTGTGAATGATACGTAGAGGATAGACAAGAATTTTATAGGGTGAGATGGCATGGGTGGCTTATGATTCGTCCCACCGGAGGGCAGGCCCATTTCAACGATTCACTGAAGCATTTCAATATTAAAGATGAGGAAACAGGTTCAGAAAGTTTCACTGAGTTGCCCAATGTTATATACCAAAGCAAGTGTCTGGGACTCAAGTGGGACTCAAACACAAGCTTCCTGACTCATCACCTAGTGCTATTTTCACTACACTTAAAGTACTATAACACCCTCTTAACTGGTATTCCCCTTTCTGCACTTTAACCCCTTTAATATAACCCTCAAACTATTGCACAATATAGAATACTGCTCTTATCACGTCATTCCCCTGCTCAAAAATCCTGAGTAGCTCCTCTTGGTATGTAAAGCCCTTCATCAACAAACCCTGACCTACCTTTCCAGCTTCATTCCACACTACTCCTTTCCATAGACTCAACGCTCTGCCCAAAATAGATTGTCCTCTGTCTCCCATTCTAGGGCTGCCTCCTCCCCATTTTGCTTCTGCCTTGGTCTACGTCATTCCACATGCATCAAGGACACATAACTATTGGCTGCAGGGTCCTGGGACCCCTCATGCAGGCACACTGGAGAGAATCAGAAAGCATTTGTAAGTTGTCAAGGATGTAGTTGTCACTGACCTGATACTATGTGGTCATCACCACTCTCCCCTCTGACACATGCTGGTGCCTAAGGCCTCAAGAGGCTAAAAGGATATTCCAATGAATAAGGCCTTCACAGAGCAACACAAACAATCGGGGTACCCAGAGAAAGCTGCTAGCTAACTAGAATCCAAAGAGATGCACAGCACTGCCAAAAAAAAAAAAAAGATATTGCCTGGTTCTTTTTCTTCTCCTCTACAACCACAGTTTAAGGGTGGGTTTAGGAATGCTAGTCCAGAAATCACAGCCCCCCCCCCGCTTTTTTTTTTCTCTTTTAATACTGTCTATAAAAAGTGGGAAAGAGGCTGATGCCTCATAAAGGTTATTTCCAAAATCTAATGGCTTCCTAATCCTACAGCTCAATTGTCCCGCCTCTTCCTGTCAATAGGCAATCACAACTTCACAATGACAAGTTTAGGGGACCCCTTAAAACTCCCTCATTAAGGCCTAGAACGCCCCCTCCTCATCTTTACATGCTGAAGTCCCTCCCTTCTTTGAAGGTCCAACTCCAATTAAACTTCTTCCATGAAGCCTTCCCTGACACTCCACTAAGCTAAAATTGATCTTTTCCACTTTAAATTTCTTAGACCACTTTGCCTGGATCTCTCTTTTGTACTTAACACATTCTCTCCTAAAGTAAAGTTATTTAGGCGCATTATATTGCAAATTTCTTGAGAGTAAAATGGGTATTATAACCTAACTGTGTATCTCTAACACTTAGCATACTGCTTAAACATCAGCACTAAATAAATGTTTGTTGAATTAAAGTGGATTGAACTGAAATGAAATGAATTAGGTTTTTTTTTTTAATTGAAAGAACAGTAGATATTAGGGCTTCAGAGTTATTTTCCCAGCTCTATTTTAATTTGTTCTTTCACGAAGTCTTACTCTAATGCTTCATCACTGAGTGGAGGAAACCCTAGGTTCTGGAAGATTATGTTAATGGAGCACAAGCTTTGCCAGGTTTGACCATACTGGAATGGCTTCAAGTACAGTCTCAACAACAAACTGAATCTGTTTTCTGAGGTTAAGTACAGAAGAGATAATCACTATATTTCATCTACTATTTCTGTGTTTCTCTAATATAGCCTTCAAACCACCACCTGCATGACCTAGAGGACTGTTTTGAGCTAAAAAATAACCTTCAGTATTGTCCCATTTCTACTTCTTTACCAAGCAGAAACATGGTACCCAAGACCAACACTGGCTTAGTCTGTAAAGTCATTTGTAAAATCTTAAAGAATTCTCTAACAGATTAATGTTCAAAGAATATAGGTAGTCTTCAAAAGATTTGCAAAGTATAAATAATCATGGGGAAGAATGCTATAAATCACTAATAGTAAAAAATATGCAAATTAGAACATCCTTTAAAACTTTCACCTCACACGATGCAAACTGTCAAAGAAGAAATAAGAAAAGCACCCGTGCCTTGGTGCAATGGGAAGATGCACACCTAGCTAGTAGAGCTATGGAGTGGTCTGACTATTTGGATTTCAATTTATAATTTTACAAGGGTCTATCTATACCCTTTAACCCATTAATATCACTACTGAAAACACACCCCAAAAAAGACAAAGACAGAGAAAAGGTTCAATACATAACCAAATATTCACAGCAACATTCCTTGTGATAGCAGATAACTGGAAACAAAATGGGTACCCATCAATTGGGGAATAGCTAGTATTTAAATGTATTTTAGTACATATGAATGTAATTGAATATTATTGGGAAATCTGAAAATACAACTCCTAGTAATTCTAAGAAATATGGAAATGTTTATATGAACTAATTTTATTAAATAAGCAGCACCAAGAAAATAATATATAAAAATGTAAATTAAAAGATCATCAGAATATAATGGAACTCGGAGTACTGGGGAGGAGGGATAGCTCGAGGAATGAAGATCTTGGAAAAAAATAATAAAACAAACTTCCTTCCTCATGGCAGAGAGGGTGTAGAACACTAAGACAGAATATTGTATATACTATCAGACAAGGTACCTATGTAAAATGTTTTTGATTGTTTTTCATTATCACAAAGTAGGGTTCAATTTTAGGGTGGGGTAGGAAATGACTTCAATATAAATAAACAGCGAAAAGCAACAATGAAAAAGGAGACATAAAATGAAAACTTTTTACAGAGAATAGTGAAAGATTATGCACAGTTAGTTATCACCTCATAAAATAGAAAAACAGTGAAGAGTAAAACTAGTTTAAAGAACAATTAAAGTATACAAATCCATTTTACAGACACTTAAGGATGAAATTAGAAGGACAACAAATAGAGGGGAAAAGATGGAAAAGATCTGCAAATGAACCCTTTTCCAACAAACTCTTTTGACCATCAAAGCAGTGGAGGCATCATACTTAGACTCTAACATCACATTACCAAAATGTGCTTATAAAGGAGATAGAAATGACATTAAAGGGAACAAAGATGGAAAAAGAAGCTAGATTAAGACCCATGTGGGAAGCATCTAACAAAGTAGAATACGCCAAAAGACTAGGAAAATTCTCAGATCTTACAACTATCAAAAAAAATGACCTGGGCAGCTAGATAGCACAGTGGATAGAGCACCAGCACTGGAGTCAGGAGGACCTGAGTTCAAATCCGGCCTCAAACACTTGACACTTACTAGCTGTGTGACCCTGGGCAAGTCACTTAACCCCATTGCCTAGCCAAAAAAAAAAAATGACCAAAAGAACATCAATAACTATTAACCTCAAGTCTACTTTCCCATACATACAAAATCTTTGTGAGAATATACACACATGGGGGACATCCTTTACAAGAAAATTAGAAAGGAACAGACAACTTTTATATTCTGCAATATTCTGTAACAAACCACATCTTTATCATTATATAACTAAAAGATATCTATATATTTATTCTCTAGAATAAAGATCTCACTGTACATGTTATTTATTTGTTCAATCTAAAAAAAAAAAAAACCCCTTTTGACTCAGTAGACCAAAACACAACCTTAAAGGTTCTCTTCCAATAAAGTGTCTCCTGAGCATAAATTCCTTGAAAGGACAACAACAAAGGAAACATGTTTGACAACAGATCTGATCATTGATACCAGGTGGGGTACAAAACTGAAGAATATTTGCTTGCCAAAAGTGTTTGCCACTGCCATGGAGAAAATCCAGCACAGAATACAGGTTGAAGAGGCATTTCTGATATATGGTAAGGTCCTCTAGATGCTTTTGGGTGTATATGATCTTGTACTGGTTGTATCAAACATGCAAAATCACAAAGGCTCCTGGAATAGATGTATAACAACTCAAAAAATTTGATCTAACTACCCACATAGGAAAAAAAGGAGATTAAGAATGCCTATTGCCCGGCCTCAGACACTTGACACTTACTAGCTGTGTGACCCTGGGCAAGTCACTTAACCCCAATTGCCTCTCCAAAAAAAAAAAAAAAAAAAGATGCCTACGGCCAAGTCCAAGGGAATGACTTTTACTATATGGTCAACCTATACAGCTTATCTATCAATGAAGATATCTTAGCCGGTCACTAGAAGTGAACAGGTTGGGCCAGGAGTTAAGTAGGAGGTAGAGAGCAAGTTGGAATGCCTTGGGCAAATTACAAGACTTCTTTAATGATCCCAAATTTCTTCCTGAAACTAAGATTCATGTTTTCATATAGTCTCTCAGTGTTGTTGTGTGGTTCTGAGTCATGGAACATTACAAGTCAGTTAAGAATTAAAAGCCAATCCACTCAGAGATCAATGGAGAGGTTCATGGTGGGTGTGAGTTGAATACACAAAACAAAAAAGAAATCACGAAGAACGGGAGTCATCAAAAATGTATGATAAAAAAGAGTAATATATAGCAACAGCAAGGAATCACAAATGTACTGCTCAAATGCTCCATCAGTATTCACAGAAGGCAAAGTGGGAGGACCCCTTGTCCAGACTTAAAGGAGGACACAGACAAGTACTGAATATAATGAACAGGTTTGAGAAGTTGTGATCACCATCACTGAAGAAAATGTCCATATTGATGAGATCACAGATCCATCTAAGCTCCGAGTTCATACAATCACTAGGTGATAAATACCTATATTATCTAGCTCATAGTAATTCTGAAAAGCTTTAAGAGAAATATCTGTAAAAGAGTGAATACCTCACAGAAGATGAGTATGACGTAGTGAGTTCAATTGTGCTATTTTTTTAAAGTTTGGGGCAGATCACATGAATCTAAGACATTATAAACATATTTTAAACTGCATTTTAAGTTATGACCACATTTACTCCAAGTACCTGAACATTTTTGCCCTTTATGTTATGGGAAAATCCATTCATTAATTAATTCCTTTGTCTCAGACATAACACCCTACTAGCTCCCTCAGTCAAGCTGATTTACTGTTCTAGATTAGAAGCTTCAATTACCTTCTTTCAAGGCTCAATTCAGATGCCACCTCCTACATGAAGCCTTTCCTGATCTCCCTAACTGTTAACACTCTCTCCTCAATTACCCTTGCACTATTAGGCCCAAATGAGATAACATATGTAAGGCACTTTGCAAACGTTAAAGTGCTATATAAATGCTAGCTACAGCTAATTAAGTAATTAATATCTGCATATACATTATATCCTCCCAGGAGAAAGTAAACTTATTGGGGGTCTATAGAGGAAATGTTTCATTTCTGTTTTTTGAGCCCCAAGAATAAGCAAAATGCCCCAGACCTAGTAAGCACTTAATAAATGTTTGCTGAATTAATGAGGACACAACCCAGAAGAAAGCCACAGATATCACTAGATTCCTAGCAATTAAATAAAAGTTGATCCAGATACTTTTGGAACATTTGGAAACTTCCTTAGGTTTTCATCTATTCCAAGAGTTCTTGACTCTTTTGGTGTTACGGACCCCTTTGGAAGTATGCTGAAGTCTATGGACCCCTTCTCAGCATAATGATTTTAAATGTGCAAAATAAAATACATGGTTCTGCAAAGGAAACTAATTATATTGAAATGTAATTATAAAAATATTTTTAAAACAAGCACACAGACTCCAAGTTAAGAACCCCTGATAAAGCCCGTAAGCCCTAGATTTTCGATCCCTGATTTACAAAACTGGCAATTGGAGCAAAACAGTCCAGTCTTAGGTCATGGGTACAAAGCACCATGGGGAAGGAATAGTTGTAGATACCAGGTAGGTCCGCTTCATTTCCTACAACAGTCCCAGCTGGGACTTAAGGAACCCACTACTAAAACAGATTTGGAAACCAAGCCTCTTGCTCCCATAGATGATGGTCCACATCAAAGACGTTGGTAGAATACAACTGAATTCAATTTAACAAACATCAGCGAATGAGAACAGCTAGCACTTACACAGTGCTGTAAGGTTTGCCAAGAGCTTTATGCATGTTGTCTTCTATGAGACTGGTTACTACTGACTTGCCTGTGTCTCAGGCAGGATTCAAACCAGGCCTTCCTCATTCCCAGTCCAGCACTTTGTCCACTGCGCCATCCAGCTGCCTTCACTTACGCTGTTTCATATTCAGTGCCCCTACCACTGTTGCACTAACTACATTTCTTTAAAATCACACATTTTGGAAATTTGTACAAATATGACAAAGAAAATACTGTAGGCAGTCGGGGAATTTTGTAATGGGCACACATCCTCTAGAGTGTCCCGAAAGGCTTACCCTGAGTGAAGCCAGCTGGACCAAATTCCATCAGGACATAGAGCTGAATCATGAGCTGTGGGGAGGCCTCCAGGTATGTTTCAAATAGCCTGAGCATACTCAAGTCAGCCGCTTCATTTATTACTTTTTGGTGTAAGTCAGTTGGTTCTTCTCTACTGGGAGTGGAGAAGTTTGTGGGGTCTTGTCTCAAGGTAGGCACACTAGAGGGGTCATCTGAGCTGCCGCATTGGAAAGCCGAACAGTATCCCTTTCTCAAAGCAAACCAATACCTGGAAATATACAAATATTATTATTATATCATCAGTAATTAACATATGAAGTATTTGGACTATAGACTAAGAGAAGCCCTAAAGGTAAAAAGCCAAAATAAGAGATTAATCCAACTACTCCAAGAAGAGCCCTAGAGAAAATGTGGTTTCTCCACACATACTGTAAGAGTGGGTAGAAGAAATAAAGCAAGAGATTTAAAAAATGGAACTATAGAATCTGGGAGGAAAAAAAAAACAAATGAAAATAAACATCTTAAAAGAGATGGTAGAAAAATCTCCCCAAGTGGTGGATTCCCTGAAAAAACAAAATGGCACACTATTTGGCTTGAGAAGTATGTCTACAATCAATGTTTCCACTTCCTTTCCTCTCACTCTCTTCTTAACTCTCTACAGTCTGGTTTCCACCCTCACCATTAAACCAAAACTGCTCTCTCCAAAGTTACCAGGAATTTCTTAAGTGCCAAATCTAATGGCTTTTTCTCAATCCTTATCCTTCTTGACTTCTCTGAAGCCTTTGATATTGGTGATCACTCTCTTCTTGACACTCTTCTCTCTAGGTTTTTAGGACATCATTCTCTCCTGGTTCTCCTCCCACCTATTAAATCACTTCTTCCTTCTCAGTCTCCTTTGCTGGATCATTATATATGTCACTCCCACTAACCAGAAGTATCCCACAAAGTCTTTCCAGGTCTGTCTTCTCTTCTCCCTCTATATTCTTTCACTTGATGATCTCATCAGTTCTCATTAATTCAATTATCACCTCTATGCTAATGATTCTCAGATCTATTTATCCAGTCCTAACCTCTCTGCTGACCTCCAGTCTATTAGACATCTCAAACCAGATGACATCTTAAATTCAACATATCCAAAATTTAACCCATTATTTTTTCCCTAAAATTCTCCCCTCTTCCAAACCGGGGCACCACCATCCTCCTAGTCAATCAGACTCACAACTTAAATGTCATGTTTAAAACATCTCTTCTATATGCTCCCTTCTCTCCTCTGACACTGCTACCATCCTGGTGTTGCCCTCCATCACCTCACACTTAGACTACTGTAATAGCCCACTGGTTGGTCTCCCTGCCACAAGTCTCTCCCACTCCAGTCCATCTTCCTCTCAGCTATCAAAGTTTTAAAGCACAAGTCTGACCAGATCACCCCCTACTTGGTAAATTCCAGTGGCTCCAGGATCAAATATAAAATCCTCTGTTATTCAAAGCCCTTCATAATCTGCCCCCTCCCCACCTTTCAAGTCCTCTTATACCTCATACCCTAACGCAATACTTTGCAATCCAGCAATGCTGGCTTCCTTGAAGCCAGCATTGTTCCATGAACGAGACATTCCACCTTATGACTATAAGCATTTTCACCCCATGCCTAGAAGGCTCTCTCCCCTCATCTCTGCCTCCTAGCTTCCTTCAAAATCCAGCTAAAACCCCATGTGCTACGGAAGCCTTTCCCAATCCCTCTTAATTCTAGTTCCTTCTCTCTGTTAATTATATTTCCGATTTATCCTGTATATAACTTGTCTGTAAATAGTTTTTGAATGTTGTCTCCCTCATTAGAGTCTAAACTCCTTGAGAGCAGTGACTGTCTTTTACTTCTCTTTGTATCACTAGTGCTCAGCACAGTGCCTGATACATAGCAGGTATTTAATAAATATTTAATGACTGGCTGTGAATCAGTGCTAATGCCTAAGCTGCTGCTAGACTGTGAATCAATCCAGCAATTATGTAAGCAGTTTGAAACTATACCCAAAGTCACTTAAACGGTGTGTATTTTTTGACATAGAAATACCACTACTAGACTTATACCCCAAAAAGATCAAGGAAAGAAGGAAAAGATATACAATACATGTACAAAAAAGTATTTATAGCAGCACTTTTTGTTCTAACAAAGAACTGGAAATTGGCGCCAATTGGGGAATGGCTGAACAAATTATGGCATTTAATGGAATATTACTGTGCCATAAAAAAATGATGAAAGGGACAGATTCCAGGAAACCTGGGAAGTCTTGTATAAACTGATACAGAGTGAAATGAGCAGAACCAGGAGAAATATTTATATATTAGTTACACAACAGACTACAAGATTATAGAGGAAAACAACTTTGAAAGATTTAAGAACTCTGATCCAAGAAATAATCAATCATAACTTCAGAAGACTGATGATGCAGTATGTCTTCTACCTCTGGTAAATTGGTGATGGTTAATAGGTACAGGAGAAGACATATATTCTCACACTTTACCTACAAAACATACATTTGCTTTGCTCAACTTATCTGTTTGACTTGTTTTTTCCACATTCAATTGTTACAAGGATGGGCTTTTATTTGAGAGGGAGGGAAAGTTATGGGATTAGGTAGTAATGATGATACAAAAACAAAGAAAAACAGAATTGACAAAACATCTAAAATACACAGAAAAGAAAGCAGTTCATAAGGAGACAGACAAGTAGGGTAATAATATTCGTACTACCACATTAAAAAACAAGCTTATAGTAAATGCACAGTTTCATATGTGGCCTTCTTTGTATTTGTGAATGTTTCAATTTGTTGGTGATTTTCTAGTTCACAGTAATTTTTTCTTCTTAAGAGGCAGTAAGATTTCATGGAGAATAGGCTATGCCAAGCTGTCAGGACCCTTGTAGTAAACTAGCAAATCACTGCAATGCTCTAGCAGCAGCTTACACATTAGCAAAATATTTGATAAGGCATTTCAGGAGCTGGAGAGATGAGAGGTAGGCAAGAGTAGGATTAGATGGATTCAGGACTGGTTAAATAGCTAGAGACTTACAGAGTGCTTATTAATGACTCAATGTCAATTTGTTTGGTTCAGTGGAGTGAATACTTCAGCAGTCTGTGCTAGGCTCTGGACTGTTTGACATTCATGACTGAGAGAAAGGAAAACATGGCATGCTTGTCTTATGTGCAGATGATGTGTGTTAGGGGTAGATCTGATTCAGGCTGGTACTCTGTTGGGACAGTCTGAACATTAGTCCAGGTTTATTGTTTGAATGAAAGGAGGTACTTGTAATCCATTCAATGGTTAATAAAAGGAAGCTTTCTTAGTAATAACTTTCAAAGGCTATTTGTTTAACAAGGCCAGTCTTAACACTTAGCTTGAATAGATATCTCCACTCACCTCCCTGTGGTTAGCAGAGCAGGGTATAATAACTCTTATGGTCTTGGAATATCTGCCAAGTATAAAAGGTTCCAACTACACGTTGAGGGAAACCCAACTTGAGCCTTAGCCCCCTGGGCTGATCAGAGACGGCTTTGTGGGCTTTCAGAGAAAAACTAGCTTAATATTCTTAGGAGAAGGGGTTAGAATATTGTTCTCACTACAACATGAAAGTAGGAAGGACAATCAATCAACCAATCAATAAACATTTATTAAGTCCCTACTATGTGCCAGATACTATGCTAAGTGCTAGAGATATCCAAAAAAATAAAAAAAGGGCAAGTCCCTGCCTTCAAGGAGCCTACAATCTAATGGGGTAGACAACATGCAAAAAAATATACACAAAGCAAGCTATATACAGAATAAATAGAAAATAATTAACAAACAGAAGGAAATGCTAAAATTAATAGGGGTACCAAGACACTGGATTAAAGGGTAAGGATCTAAAAAGATTTTGACGTGTTAGAGTCTAATAAGGTGAAATTCACTAGGGAACAATGCAAAGTGTTATACTTGGGTACAAGAAATCAGTCTCACAAGTACAAGATAAGAGAAACGTGGGCTGGTAGCAGATTGCATGAAAAAGACCTGGGAACTTTAGTGAGTTGTTCTACATGAACTAAGGGTGTGATACGGCAATTAGAAACTGCTAATATAATCTTGTACTCCAATAAGAAATGCACAGAATGCAAGAATAAAAGGATTACAGTCCCTAAATACTCTGCCCTAGTCAGACCATATTTAAGTATTATATTCAGTTCTGCATGTCATAGTTTAAGAAAGCTATTGATAACCAGTTGATTATACAGGGGAGAGTAATCATGGTGGTGATGGGCCTTGAATCCAAGCCAAATGAGCATCAGTAGAAGGAAGTGGGAATACTAGAGAAGAAAAGGTTCAGGGGGGCATGAAAGCTATGACAAAAGTATTAGACTTATCTTGTTTGACCCTGGAGGATAGGAAAGAAGGAAACAAGCATTTATTAGGCACCACTATATGCCAAGCACTATGCTAAGAGCTTTACAAATAATGGATGCAAACTGGAAAGAGAGAAATTTGGTTATGATATCAGGAAAAACTTGTGAACAATTAGAGCTGCTAATAGAACCATGAGATTGTGACAAGCAAGAAAGAAAGGTCAGGATCACATCCCCTTCTATTTTAAACAGCAGAGAGACAAGATTGGATTTGTGGAAAAGTGGCCTCCACAAGAGGGAGGAAATAAACATTTATTAAGTTCTGGGCACTGTGCTAAGGTCTTTACAAATATTATGTCATTTCATCCTCACAACAACCATGGGAGGCAGGTGCTATTATTATCCTCATTTTACAGTTAAGGAAACTGAAGCAGGTAGAGGTTAAGTGACCTGCCCAGAGTCACACAGCTAAGAGTGCGAGGTCATATTTGAACTCAGGTCTTTCTGACTCCAGGCCCAGCAGTCTATCCACTGCACCACCTAGCTGCCTTTCATACTGCAAGTATGGAGTGTTCTTGTACTGCCAGCAACACTGGAAATTTATATACCTTTTATGTAATCTATATAAAATTATATATATAATTATATATTATATTATTTATTATATTATATTATTTATATTTTATATAAATATATTTATAATTGTATTATATATAATTATGTATAATTAAACATAAATATAACTTTATATTAAATTAAATATATAATATAAATTAATATTTAATAATGAATATAAATAAAGTAAATCTGATGTTAAAATTAAAAATAAAATTATATAAAATTTATATATATTTTACATTTATATGTCTTATACCTTTGGAACTAATGGCTGCTTATTCAT